AGTAGTTGATTAACCAATATAGAAAATTGCATGATGACCCATGGCTGGCAAATTCTAATTAAAGAAAATTCATTGCGAAAAATAATACCTCGGCCAGGGTTTGAACTAGGGCTGGCGATTTCCTTCGAAGGCTTCGATATTCGAAGCTTCGAAGTTATGAAAAGTAACAGCTCTAGTTTGAACCTGGACCTCCCTACACTCTAAGCGGGCGTCTCAACCAATTCGACCACCGAGGCACGTTAACGTTCAAACCCTGGCCGAGGTATTATTTTTCGCAATGAATTTTCTTTAATTAGAATTTGCTAGCCATGAGTCGTCATGCAATTTTCTATAAAAATTATATACGTTTTATGAAATCTTCTAGGTCGCCAGTAATAATTAACAAATTAAGTATACTTTATTATTTGACCGTAATTGGCAAAAATTTTCTTTTCTTTATTTAAAAACGCTACGTCTCGACCGTGAGTTTTGGTCCTTTTCAAGCAATCTGGGGACACAAAAAATGTGTGATAATGCTTAACTTACAGTTGGATAGTAACTGCGTTAAATAAAGTTAAGATTTCGCGAAAATTACCTGGTAATAGATCTTATATGTTTTTTACCCCCTACCCCCTTTTATGGGAACGCCTTTCAACCGCTAACACGAGTGATTAGTAATAGTAGAGTCCTCGGTTCGATCCCGACTCTCGTCCCGCATATTTTCCCTGACGGAAAATATGCGGGACGAGAGTCGGGATCGAACCGAGGACTCTACTATTGATATAACTATCAGCGTATTATTTCTAAAAATTCCTTGAAATTCATTGTGCTTAATTGCAAACACTGAATCCAACACTAGGCACTTAAACTCCTTCAGGTGCTGAATCTTTGTAAATTTTCCCTGACGGAAAATATGCGGGACGAGTCGGGATCGAACCGAGGATTCTACTATATCACTCGTGTTAGCGCAGAGCTACACGTTATCCCAGTAGATCTTATATGTATATACGTTATAAATACATTTGAATATAGAGTTGTTAATTGAACTTCACAGGCTGCCAATATAACGACTATAATTTATATTGTTCCGTTTTACTGGCAGCCTGTGAAGTTCCATTAACAACTCTATATTGAAATGTATTTACGAGGGGGGAAATCACTGAGCAAAATGTTGTACACCAATGCCCACTAATGCCTATCTTTATAATGCCCCAGCAAGGCTTAATGCCCAGTAATGCCAGAAATCTGTACACCACAATGCCCTCATTCTGGTTTCCCCCTCGTGTATTTATAACGTATATACATATAAGATCTACTAATAGGTAATTTTCGCAAAATCATTATTTTATTTAACGCAATTACTATCCAACTGTAAGTTAAGCATTATCACACATTTTGTGTATCCCCAGATTGCTTGAAAAGGACCAAAACTCATGGTCGTATCTAAAGAAAAGAAAATTTTTGCCAGTTACGGTCAAATAACTAAGTATACTTAATTTGTTATATACCTTTTGTTCGTTTATAATTAAACTGGAGAAATCTAAAAAACTTACACATAATCCTCTAGTTATTAAAAAATCTGGTCCATGTACATTCCACATACACGCATACGAAAATATTGTTAAAAAAGGGTGTATACTTACTTGAAGGTTTGTATGCACCACTGACGATGCTGCCAAGCGTGATAATTCTTGGCGTCTTTACATAAAACCGTTTCTATGAACAACAATTCCTCGTTAGGATCTTGCAGCCATTCGACAATGATCTTCCTGTGATGCCAGACTTGATAATTTTTAGAATTGTATTTTATCATTCGATCTGTATACTTGAGTTCCTCGTGTAAGTCTTTCGCCAGGGCTTTAAGTATCTCCCTTCTGTATTGCCATACGGTGTAATTGACCGGATTGAGCCATATGCAAGCTTCTGTTAGAGCTAGTCCACGTTCTGACTTTTCACCTGACTTTAGCATGGCACGGAAATAATCGTAGGCGTCTTTAACTGAAAGTCAACGTGAAAAATATAAGATAACGTTCAGCGAGATCTCTTTGTGGGATATCGCGTCTGTGCAATGATAGGAAACGTGTGTGAATGTCGTTTTACACGCTCTGTAAAGTACAGTTAGAAAATGGTGTAATTCTCAAAATTACGTATACTCACACTTCTCGGAGTATGCAATTGATACAATGGGATGAGGACCGTCGTCCTGGGGTAAGGGAGTCACGTCACTCCACTCTGCGCGATCTTTGTACAAAATCCACGTTGTTTTCTCCTGATCGTCGCCGCAGTTCAGCTCGTCGTCCGAACTGTCCGACATGTTTTCCCCCTTTTAACACAATTTTCTGTTATCGTGGAACGAAAACGAAGCCACAAGAGTTTCCTCTCAACGAATCCTAACCTAGTTCACCCCTCGCGCTCCGTGCGGCTCCGAACACGTTCTCCAACAACGTTGTAGACCAACTTGTTATACGCTTACTCACGATGGTACAGTCGGTGTTACGTGCCTCTACATTTGATAGATATTTTCCGAGCCGTGCATCTTATCTAGATATTTATACATCGTGATTGTTGACTAAAAAAACATATACATTTACGTATAATTTAAACGATAATTTCTTACATGCTCTCTTAATATTTAATTACTCGTGTGATATTTAATCTATACGTAAAACCATAAAATTATCTCACCGGTAGACACAGCGGCACCTTTTCACGTTCAAAAGCGAGAGATATCTATCTAGTCACGTGTTGAGCAGAAAAAGAGAAAAAGTAAAAAGTACAACAAGTGCAGCTAGGAGGAACACTTACTATCGTTGATGATAATGCACGAATTACATGAGAGACGTATGCGTGTATACACACATCAGGAGATAAGGGAACTGCATATCTTCTTTATTGATTTTCAAATTCAACTCTAATAAAATGTTGCCTGGAGAAATCACAGAAATGCATTGGGGCGCGAGCTGATAATTTGCTTGGAACTTTAATAAAAGATTAACTCCACAAGTTAAAATTGAGTGAATTTATTAAACAACAGAACGAAACCATAAAATTTAATGCTCTCGTTTGATATTTAAATAAAAAAAGAAATCAAATAGGTTGATTACATAACAATATTCTCTACGATATAATCTATGTATTGTATACTATTTATAAAGTAAGTCTGTTTTGCACAGGAACGCTCATTTCACTTTCTCAATTCTATAGTCTTACCTCACACTTATCCACTGTTAAGTGCTACGAAGCATTCTACAATAGCGGGCTTGTTAACAAATTTTCATATTTTTGGTACAAAGTTTTACAGTAATTGTTACAACGGTAAATAGCTTGACATTCTGCACGTTTCGTAGACTGCACAAAAAATGATCATTTTGCATTATATAGTTACATTATACAAGTGACCAACTATGTACATAATTTATTACTTTGCGTGAAATCTGGCCACACCTTTTTAAAGAAACCTGGCCATTACTACTACAAATGTGAAACATACACATTAACGTTTTTCTTTTTTAATAGATTTGATGAAACTTAAAGTAACTATCATCTTTCAAATCTCGCAAGAAATAAAAGATAATTTTATTTATTATTTAAAGCGCAAAAATACTACTTATATAAAAAACTATATAATTATAGAGACCGAATACCAACCAGAATCAATAAGCAAAATTTTCTTTTTCTCTCTTTTTGCACGTGAATACTTAATTTTTAGTCGGTTATCGCGCAAAACATCAAAATTTGTATTTGTCTCTCTTCAACTAGAATAAATGGTTTTTCTTTGAGCTCGCGGAACGGCAGCAGACTCTTATACAAGTGTATGTGAATGGAATTTGGTTTTCCTTTTGTACAGAACATAAATTATCTAAATTAATTTTTCTCCTCCTTCTTCTCGCCCTCAGGTTCCTGCTGCGATTGATTTTGACTTTCTCTTTCTGCCGCCATCTGTAAAATCAATACCTTTAAATAATAGTTCTCGAGCTATACAGAGCATAATTTTGCGCTCATAAATTTTCACAAAAATCAAGTACCTTTTTGTACGCCATTTCAAACAATTTCAAACTTGCTTGTTGAAGTTCGTTCGTTTGCTTCTTTATTTCTTCAGGATCCGCGTCATCCTTCTTAGCCAGAATCTCTCGCAGTTTAGCAACTAATTCCTTAAGTTTGTCACACTAGAAAAGGAAAACAATAATTTTTATCAAAATACAAATATTAAGCGTTAAATACAAATATAAAAAAAACCAATAATATTGTACCTCTTCCTGTGGTAACTGCTGTTTGAATTCTTCTAATTTCGATTCTGTGTCGTGTATAATTCCCTCTGCTTGATTGAGAGCTTCAACTCTCTCCTTCTTAACTTTATCTGCCTTTGCGTATTGTTCGGCATTCTTAACCATGTTTTCAATCTCATCTTTGCTAAGGCCACCACTAGACTGAATAACAACTGTAACAAATCATAGAGTTAGAATATGCTCATAAAAAATATAATTTATTAATTATACAATAGTAACAGAACTCAGTTGAATGTCGTCTACACTCTCTTACTCGATTTCAAAGCAAGTTTCAGAGACGAAAAATATAGGCATCATTGTAGCATTAGTTACGTATTTCTTGACAAACTTGTGAAATGATAAAAAAAATGTACATACTTTGCTGCTCTTTGGCGGTTCCCTTATCTCTGGCTGATACATGCACTATACCGTTTGCATCGATATCAAACGTTACTTCTATTTGTGGTACGCCCCTCGGCGCAGGTGGAATACCAACAAGGCTAAACTGCCCTAGGAGTTTGTTATCACCAGCCATTTCTCGCTCGCCTTGATGAACTTTAATCTCGACTTGCGTTTGACCGTCCGCTGCCGTAGAAAATACCTGACTCTTCTTTGTAGGTATGGTCGTGTTGCGAGAGATCAATCTCGTGAACACACCACCGAGTGTTTCAATACCTGGGAAAGCGTTAAAATATTTTCTCTTTTATAATACTGATCGCAATGCAAGTTCGTTTGTGATGTTAGATGAACGAAAGATCAGGAAACTCTTTGTCTTCACTTAATATCAGAGAGAAGATTAGTCTAGTACATCATAGTTTTGTATGTATAAAATAATAGTACCGTTCGAATACGATTTTACCTAATGACAAGGGTGTAACGTCGAGAAGCAAGACGTCTGTTACATCTCCCGCAAGTACACCTCCTTGAACCGCAGCACCAACGGCTACGGCTTCGTCCGGATTGACAGCTTTCGATGGTTGTCTGCCGAATATCTCTTGAACCGTTTGTTGTACCTTAGGGACTCTGGTCATACCACCGACCAATAAAACTTCTCCGATATCGGATTTTGACACTTCGGCGTCAGAAAGCGCCTTCTGACACGGTTGAACAGTACGCTTAATCAGATCGTTTACGAGACTTTCGAATTTACTTCTGGATAATTTCAGATTTAAATGCTTTGGTCCACTAGAATCCATAGTGAGGTAGGGAAGATTTATATCCGTTTGTAGGGAACTTGATAATTCTATCTTAGCCTTTTCCGACGCTTCCTTCAATCTTTGCATTGCCATCGCATCTTTCGTCACGTCCAGCCCTTGCTGCATTATTTCATCAAATCAATTAGCCACATAAATTTACTTTAAAGGCACGTGTCCACGATGCTAGAACTTGGTCCAAGTTCTAGTTTCGAGAAATGTGTAGCCAATCAACTAGTAGCTAATCCATAAAAATTGGCTACACATCTCTCCGAACTAGAACTTGGACCAAGTGCTAGCATTGTGGACACAGGCCTTAACGAATAATTGCGTTTAGTTACAAGACTCGTACCTCTTTTTTAAATTCAGATACAAGGTAATTAACCAATGCATTGTCAAAATCTTCTCCCCCCAAAAATGTATCTCCATTTGTGGATTTTACTTCAAAGACACCCTTCTGGATTTCTAAAATTGAGATATCGAAGGTACCTCCACCCAAGTCATAAACAGCAATACTGAAAAAAAAAGAATACAATATATTAATCATATCTGCTTTTTCTCTGCAAAATGTAAGAAATGTAGCGTAATATTCAGTAAAGTATTTCAGCATAAGATACAGAGATACCTTTAGAGACGAAAAATGGACATCATTTTCAAAATAATATTTCTCATAGTTTACATCAACGTAATATATTTTCTTACATTTTATCCTCCTGTTTGTCCATGCCGTAAGCAAGCGCAGCTGCGGTTGGCTCATTAATTACACGTAGTACATTCAATCCGGCAATTTGACCAGCATCCTTTGTCGCCTGTCGTTGTGAGTCGTTAAAATAGGCTGGTACAGTAATAACGGCATTCTTCACTGAAGTGTTCAAATAAGCCGCAGCGGTTTCCTTCATTTTCATAAGCACAAACGCCCCAACTTGACTGGGGGAATACATTTTTCCATCAGCACCTTGAACCCACGCGTCGCCATTAGACGCTTTCACAATTTTATATGTTACGCTCTTCCTGCAAGAACATATTGTATGTTAAACCAGACATAATCACATCGCGACAAATTGTACGAATGTCAACACGACACTCACATATCCTTTTTCACTTCGGCATCCTCGAATCTCCTTCCAATTAATCGTTTTGTCGCGTAAAATGTATTAGCGGAATTTGTGACTGCTTGGCGTTTCGCAGGCATGCCAACTAAACGTTCGTTATCTGATGAAAAAGAACAGAAATTATTTACCTATTGCAAAAATGACGACATTAAATAAGAGAAACATTTGAGAATTTAAATCGAACAATTGTTTGTTACTCATCGCATGAATCTTAATCAATAATTGTGTCGAGACGGATCGAACAGTGTTATTGATATTAGAGACCCTGTAATCAAAGACTGGCTATAAGGGAGTTGGTCAAATTCCTGCGAGTGAGAGAATCTCTCGATCGTAGAATCGTAGAAGAGTGAGATGGCCTAAATTTCGCTCTCACTCGCAGAGATTTGACAAACTCTCTATCGGCCAGTCTCTGATTACAAGGTCTCCAATTGATATAATCTAGCACAATAACCTTTCGTAAAAGCAACGTAAGATGGAGTAGTCCTAGAGCCCTCGGCGTTTTCTATAACCTTAGCTTGCTTGCCCTCCATAACTGCCACGCAAGAAAATGTGGTTCCAAGATCGATACCGATAACCGCGCCCTTTACACCTTCCGATCTTAAAAGAGAAGTACGTTCAATAGTCGTTGAAAAGTTAAGAAACGCATGTTCAATATCTGTTTGGCATTAATTACTCACTTGTACCGATACTGTTGCACATCGGTAAATCGGTGTGGCACGGTGACTGTTGGAGCCGCAACCTGAGACATTGAAAGTACAAAATAAGACACACACCTAAATACTTAACGATTCAAACAAGTATTTTATTGCAAAAGGATCGTGCACGTAACATTATCAAAATCTTTATTGCATAACCTGGAAGAGAAGAAATTTCTAAAAAATACTTGAAACCTTCAATATAAATTACACGTATTTAAAATAAACGAGACACGAAGCTAATTAAGATAAAACTAATTACCTCTTCGCGGAGAATATTTTTTTGGTGCAACTCAATTACAGAAAAAAAAAGTCTAGGATCGAACTTTGCCGAACTAACCTAAAAGTAGTTTCGACTAGTTTCATCAAGTCTAGCTGTAGTAACAGGCAAAGCACAGAGAGGATTGAGAATATTGCCAACTAGAACGAGGGTCAGAAAGCATTTGATGAACGCGAAAGTAGCAACCCACCCACGTGCCGGCTCTAAGATAAGCGTCGTGCGTCGAAATTAACGCGGGGCGGAAAGTAATGCCTCGCGATGCACGATCGCGTGGTAAATCGGGATCGTTCGCGCCGGTCAACGGGGAAACGCTGCCAATTAGGATTCCTCTTTCGTCAGACGGCACGTGAATAGTGCCGATCGCGCGCGGGGAAAAGCCCACGGCGATCGCGAGATCGTTGTACGTACATTTTTTAAAATCGTGCTGAACTGCTGTTTCCTGGCGAGGTCGCAGGCGATGCCGGTGCAGCTGCGGTTGAGTAATTTCGCGGCGGTCAACATCTCGATCTTGTATCGGCGGAAACTCGAGCGGAGAGGAATCGGCGAAGAACGCGATGCGCCCAGCTTCACGTGCAATGATGCAATTCCCGTGAGTTCCGCGGAAGCCCGTGATACGTATATATATACCATGCGCGGCATCTCACTGCGCACTCCGGCGACTCCGGAAAACGGACACGCGTCGGCGTCCACCAATCGCTCGCCCTTCACGTGGGCTCGAACGGAACGAGGCAATAGCGAGCGTACGCGGTCATCCCACCACTTGATGATACCGAAACATCCCGAATGTTCTACCCAGTTCTAGAAAAGTAAATAGACTATGGCCGGCATTCATAGTCGGATCTTCCATTCAAGACAGTCTTGAATTTATCTAAAGATTCTGTATGGAACATCTCATTGGCTACGGAGTATCTAAAGATGATCGATCTGACTATGAATACCGGCTTAAGTTGCCACCGAGGGTTAAGCCTATCACACAATGCCAGGCGACAGGCAACAGGAACAGGGAATAGAATTTCTGACGCGTTGGATTCGTTGGAAGAAAATTTCCGACGAATCCAACGCGTCAAAAATTCTGTTCCCTATTCCTAGCGACGCTTATTTTTGCCCACCGCGAGACAAATCGTGAAACCGGAAGTAAATAGCCGAAACTCTTTATCGAGATACACGAATTTCCGGAATTCAAAACGAGATAACGCCCTAATAGCACAGTCCAGTGTCTGTTTTTAGACGCAAAGAGACCTTGTAGATTAGACTTAAGAGTCCAGAGAAGAACATATAGTATATTCCATTTTTGTATAAATAATGCACGTATTATACTGTTAAATTATTTTATTTAGAGCAGCAATAACACATGCGTGTATTAACGCAATACACATTGAAGTTAAAATAAGTTAAAATCCTGAGACTAAACTCATTCAAAGTACAAGTCATGGTATGTTACAAAAATGTTTGATTCGATCGATCGAATTATACGCGTGTTCGCATGAATTTTCTATTTTTGGTATATTACTCCATCGTCATTGTTATTGCTTAATTAAAGTATAACACTTGACGCACGCAAGCACGCCTTAACGCGTAATGCGTGCTCGAATTACAAAGTTTTGAAATTGCAAATTCTTTAGATGTTTTTTCATATTCATATATTCATAAGCTGGACATAAGCTCCAAAGGCATTCGTAATCTTAGAGTTTAGAAAAATCGAAAATGCAGTAACAATATTTGTAATAAAATTATAACGAGTAGTACAACAAAGCGTGTATTAACAAATGTGCGAAATGAGATGGAGATCATTATGAACAGTTCTTCTTTTTGTTACATGAGGTATTAAAACTCGACGTATATTGTCGTCTCGAAAATTTCTCCCAATAGAATATACTAGAATTAGATAATACTACGAATTCCTTTGCTATTTTTAATCGCCACCAATATTCACTTGCAATCAGTAGAATGTTTTCTAATGGAATCTTGGTAATCAAATTAAGATTGCAGATTTCTAACCCACTATAATTTTTTTAGTATCAACAGAACTTTCAAAATAATATAATAACAATTATATAGTGTATCGCTGATTTCAAACATACGATCTCTAATGTAATCAGGAACAATGTCGTTTAATATGAGCAATATTAAAATTCGACGATCGAATGTGAGATTCAGATTAAATTGTATCCGTCCTTTCTTTCCAAGCTGCAAAATCCATAGCGCCTTTCGTATGAATCGTACAATTTGTCATATCATTCCTGAAAAACATTAAATTAAAATTTTAATATTTTACTGATTGAGATCGACGCGCTATCGGTCAATAATATTACTGTGTCTGCGTTACGATCAATCTATCAATCTAATAAAGTTAGTTAAAATAGATATTTATATTATTAAAAAATTGGCATAATTACAGGAATGGGTCTTTTAGAATAAAAGCTCTCGGTTGCATCCATTGTAATCTGTCCCCATTGCGACATAAAATTTGCGCCATTGTACTTTTCCGTATCTCCTCCAATTGTTCTGTCGTAAATGAACCGGGGGTATTTCCATTCTCGTACCAATACCTGTCACCTGCATTAAAAAAATTTTTGAATAACAAAATTCTTAGTATCTTATTTCAAGCTTTTATTCAGACAAATCTATTTTATATAAAATGTACAACGAAGAATGCAAAGTTATATCTACCTAACCGAACACTTCGAAATGTCCGCCCTAATAAGCAAAGGAACGTTGGTCCAAGAACTGAATCAGATATTGGAGCTTCTGAAAGTGCTCCAGTTACCAGATCTATGTCCTCTACACTTCTATGAAGTTAAACAGAAATGCAGCATTAGAATATTAAAACTTTTTAAATATTTAGAGATCTCTTGAGTTGAAAATAACATGAAGCAATCATTAGAAATTTTGATAACAGAGTGATTAATTTTAAAACGCGAGAGAGAAAGAGAAAGATGGAAGTGGGAGACAGAGAGAAAAAGAGATGTTGATTTTAATATGTCAAAGAAATGCGAATTCAAATATGGCTATCTTTGTTATTATATCTCACCCTACATTTCATCTTACTTGTAGACTGCTCGAAGTCTCTCGACAGTATCTTTGGCCACTGTGCCTCTAAGATCCTGAAAGTCAGTGAGATCTGGCAAATCGCAGAAATCTCGCCATCTGACATAAGGCGGCAAGCCGTGATCTCTTCCCTGTTGTATAATCTGTGCGGCGTAATCCACGGCTACGTCGTTGGTTTTCCCATCGTGGAAATATCGGTCCAGGAGTATTTCGTTTAAGCCCGGAGGCAGAGGCTTCCTAGAATGTCCCGCTGTCGCGGAAATTAGATCTTGCATCCTAGATCGTCATTAAAACCAAGTTCTCATAGGACAACGTGTCAAAATAAATCGTGACAATAATATGTCAAAAAATTTAATACTATAGGAAGGATTTTGATTTTTCGAACGTTTCAAGATTCATTTGAGAAACAAGGGTAAACAAGGGGGAAAGATTCATTCAAATGATCTCTGTAGTGGTACTTATAAATTTGCTCAGAATAACGAAATTGCCCAAATTATTTGTCCAAATCATCAGTTTTCATCAGCGTCACAATTTATAAAAGTTACGAACATTCGTAGAAGGATCTGAAGCAGGATCGTTCTGCAGCGTGTGTTAACTTTGTACCCCAACTTAAAAATTTTGTAATTCTGACTGGAGTTCCCGCTTCTTTTTGAAGAGTTTCAGAGTTCCCAATAATTTATAAAAAGAGTTCTGCTGATTAACGATCAGAAATTAAAATTTAAAAAATCGGGTGCCAACTTCTTATCGAAATTTTAGATCGAATAGTTCTGAATGGTCTATTAGCTTCATTTTGCGACTATTTAGACTTCCTGATACATAAAAAATTTTTCGGTTAGCTAAAAAAATAATAAAAATCTTTGAAAATTTTATTTTGAGATACAACAGTTCTGAGTGATTTATATCGTTATTACGTTTATTTCGAAGAGTTCTCGCTGACTAAAAAAATTTTTAACCGCAAATATAAAAAGTTACACACTTTAAATGACATTTTAGAAACTGTGAAAAAATGACGCGTATCTCTGAATTGAGTCACTTAAGCGCTGTGCGCCATAAGACTTTTTGTTAGAACTCATCGAGAACTGCTTAGAACTCCACTCAGAACTACTCGGAACTCTGAAAAATGTTTCGACCTCCGGACTTAGAAATTGAACGATGGTCGAAAAATTTTTGCGTTACTTTACATTAAAATACCCTAAAAAATTTAATATCATCTTTTTACACTGCGTTCCTTAAATCACGTAAGCTCGTAAAATTTCGCAAAAAGACGTTGTGACTGTAACATGCCTTTCACTGACGTTACATTCTTTTCCGCTATGTAATTAAAAAGTTGGCGCGCGCTATTGTTCACTCGAAGATGGAAGTACATATTTCGTGAACTTTTGTAAGATTACGTTCGCATAGTCTTTTCCTTTGTGTGGGATAACGATAGGCTACAATTTATTAAACGAATCAATCACGTATGTGTGTGATGAGAACTCTAAAGTCTAATTTTATAGCGATATATATTTAAAAGAAGCAAGTATTGCACCAACATTTTCCCTTCATTGTATCTTTTTTGCGATATTTTTACTAAAATGTCTGTTTACTGTACTTGAAGAACAAGTGAAAGGTAGGAATATTTTATAAAACGTCAAGTCAATTTTATGAAAATTGAAGAAGCGTGCATGCACGCGATGTACGACAATAGTAATCACGGTTAAGCAATTTACCCGAGACAACGGCATTCTTATCGTTATAAACTGTAATGCAAGTGTATCTCTGCTTGACTAGAATGTATTTCAGTACCATAGAAGATCTATCGTATTCGCATTAAGCGGGTAAATTTCCTTTCACTTAAGATGACTTCCCTTATCTTTTTAACGCTCCTAAGAACGTGACAGGTACTGCATTGATTTCCATCTTAGGGAGAAGAATAACCGACTTGATTGCCGGTATTGTATAATCTTCTCGAAGCGGGCAATTTGAGTGACATTCGTTCGCTTGACGCTTACGATGTTGTAAAAGCAAAAGAGTTCACGTTTAACGTACAAAGTAAATGCTAGATACAATTCTAATTTGCGGATTATAACACGAAGAATAAAATCGTAGATGTTGGATAATTTTGTTTGTGACAGCATTACGATAATGGAACGTAGTTTGTGAAACTCTGTAGGAACCTTTCAATTATAGATTTATCGATTTAGCATTCAGAAGCACAATATATTGATTGCCTCTCTCCACATTTAGAAAAATTAATAATATGAGATCATCTAAATTACTTTTCAACATATCCTATGAAATTGCCCGAAAACATTCTTCACACAGTTGAAATCGAGGGGTAAACCGCTGACCAAAATCATGTACGCCAATGTCTGTTAATGTCCAGTGGGCATTTTAAAAATCTTTTTTAATCGTTATCTTAGTGTCTTATTTTACTTTTTAATTTTGTTTTATGTTATTTTATCTTTATAATGCCCCAGTAAGGCCTAATGCCCCAAAAATGTCTAGTAAAGTTGCAAATCTGTACATCACAATGCCCTTAGCGGTTTACCTCTCGGTTAAAATGTGTAGGTGTGTCGTTTCCAATTATACTCTCTAAAAGTCAATCAGTGGATTATCACTGAAAACAGTGAATATTCACTGATTGCACAGTTCTAATGCACTGATTGACTTTTAGAGAGTACGTTTCATATTTGCACATCAATAAATTCTCCTCTTGCAAAAAAAAACCTCGAGTCACGCGGTGTTCTCCGACCACGTCGAGTAATTCCAACTGACCTGTAGCTCCAACGATCAGTCGATCGATCGCGCCAGCCTCGTAAAACTCCTGCGGCGCATAGAAGGCCGACAATAAGGTCCTTTCGCCAGACTTGAGCGCCGATCGTGAGTCGACCAGGTCCAGAGTTTTCGGGGTCAGCGCGGCGACGAAGGAGAGTCCGGCCGACGCCGCCGAATTCGAGAGAGTCGCGTCCGCGCGAATGTCGTAGCCGCGGAAGTAGCCCCGCTGCGTCAGACGCAAGCCGTATCTTCGCACACGTAACAAAGGGATAACGCACGCAAATACCGTGTATGGCTGTGAGTTGCCTCTTGGAAAGTACGGGGGCGGATGATGTAATTTCGTTGCGTCACGTCTCTTGTACGACGCATTGTACAATACAATTCGGCGTCGTTTAAAGAATACCCGAATGTATAGAATAAAGTTCAGGATACGCGGCTTGTCAGTGAAGCGTTTAATCAATTGAGATTTACAAGCGCGGTCAATGCACGAGTCGGTTTGAAAAAGGCACCGTTCTGCGTTAATATCGAAATAATTGTCGTCGATAGTTCATGGGTCGTCGCGCGCTATACGAAAAATTGCGAACAATAGGAAGGATGACCCGTTGTAAGAGTCCGACATGCTATTATGTAAAATATGATTTATTACACGCGTGCAGTTGGAAATGAAGTCACGCTTTTCGTATAACATCGTCCGATTATCTACCATCGCATACATCAGCTGTTGCGACTGGTTCTTGCAATCCGTCGTGCAAGAAGTTGTATTAGGCACTAAATGGAGCCATCAGAATATCCGTTCAATTTATGAAATAGCAAGGTATTAGCGATTAGAAACGATAAGATCCTTTGCGAAATTGTTGCATCAAACTATTGCGGGTATCGAAGAACATGATGTTGATACTTAAAGATACACGACGGATGAGATGCACGCTTATCGGTTAATATAGAATATCCTGCTTCTTGCTTTCTTAAATGTTCAAACACTACCCCGGATGGAAATATTTTACTGAAAATATGACGAAATTATGCTAAAATTTGAAAATCTCTCTCAATTGACCCCATTTCATTATCATTTCACCAATTTTTCAGTAACAAATCATTTCAAAAATTTTTCATTAAAAATAACAGTTTCAATTCAATAAATTTCATATTTAATACTTGATAATTTTTTAATTACTTTGCAGCAGTATACTTTAACTTTTCTTATATTTCACAGTATTAAATTGAATTTTATAAAGATTTTGAGATACGTTCAGTAATTTTTCAATAATTTTCATCTTCAATTTTCGATACTACTTTCAGCAAAATAGTTCCATCAGGGAAATGCTGTGTATTGAAAAAAATTTTCATTTATGTTCACGCTTTTTATGAATTGAGCGTAAGGCAGAAAACATTACGTACTTGTCGAGGGCACGTTCTCCGAGAATAACAGGCAGGAACTCGTTATAAGTTACGTGTTGCAGTTCGGCGATAACAATTCTTCTTGCTTCTTGATATAGTTTCTCGTCGTCCCAATGGGGATTGAAACGTTTCAATTCTGAAGCCACTCGATTATGCTCTCGTAAGAATAATACGTGCATCAAAGTGAGGCCTGGATTCTCATTTACTCTGGAATCACCGGAAAGGAAACACGGAAATGCCTTGCTTGCGCTTCTGCAGCTCTCATATTTTGGCGAAGCCATCGGCAAGTTCTTTCTTTGCGTGTTTAGGAGGCCGTCTTTGTACAATCGTAGGGCTCTAGCTGTCTCTTCAGAACTACCGTAAAGCGGTGACAGATCCAAATAGGAGGATGCCTGGTTGATCTGTTGTCGAGGTCCCAATTTGCAACCCTACATAATTTAATTGCCATTCAAAATTCTTTGAAACGTGTGAGAAATTCTACAACTTTGGGGGGAGAATTAAAGTTAACAATTATATCGAAAAATAATTAATTTTGCCGAGACACGTAATATCTCCTTGAGAATTTCCATTAAAAGAGACAAAGTGCATTTCTCGTTTAATACACAGAACGCTTCAAACTATCAATTTAAGGCAATGAAATTTTTCTTTTCCATTTACCGCCTTGACGATGAAAATCATTTATACATTCAAGTTTCATGAGCAGCTAGTTTTTTAATCCTTAGTGTTACACGCAAAGTATTATTAACTTTCAAATTAATACTAACGACAATATAATCCTCGTGTATATCTCAAAAGACTGTGCCTAGGCCGGAGTTCTTGCACAATAACATGAAGAAATCATACAAGTCATTTCTACGAGATTTCTCAAACATTATATAAGATTTTATTCGCAATTACCTGTAACGAATTTCCTGGATGCGGTGCCGATCTCGAGTATTCCATACATCCAATCGGCTGCTCCGCGTGGATCGGGAAGCACTCGGGATGAAAATTCTCGTAATCGACGTCGCAACATTTGAGCCTGGCACCGTCCGGCAATTCCATCCTGGGCGTGTGCGTCAAGTCGTGAGCGAGAAACTGACCGAAAAGCGCGGTGATCGCCATCAAATAGGGATGTTTAAGGTCCAATCCGCCGGCGTGCACCCTCGAGGAGACCTCCCTCGCGCTCGGCAACTTGGTGCGAGGCAGGGAGACACCGTCTTCGTACTCCGCCGGCAAGAGTCTCACGTAAGCCTCCAATGCCGCGCCCCAGGTCGGATGCAACGGATTATTGCATCGACCCGTGTGTGTCCTGTAGCGGACGTCTGTCTTCTTGCATTCGGATATTATTCGCAAGAAGCTGGGCGAGTCCGGACAGAGAACGGCGGCTACCGTCGGCAACACCAAAGACGCCTGTTTCGATGACATGTTGAGCGCTTCTACGAGCATCACCGCCATCGTCTCGATTCGCAGAGCCCTCCTCGAGAGATTCTGCGCGCCCTCGGTCATCTCATGGGACGCGCCGAGGAACCAGGACGGCGAACCACGATTGAGACGCGTCCGGGAGCTCAGGATCGCCTGTTCCGCCTGGCTGTACCTCTCCATGGAGAGATTCGTGCGCTTATCCAGATCGTGCAGCATCCTAAGCGGCAAGGTCGTAGCTCCTACGAGCGTCATTAGAGCGAGGAATCTGCGGATCGTAATCTAAGGATAGAAAACACCCACTTGTCCGTGCATAGCCGAGTGCCGTCGTGGCAAAAGAGCCTTCGAACGGAGATGAGCCCTTGTGTGAACGTACTTACGTTCCGCGCGGCACAGCGTCGTTATTACCCAATAATCGTTATGCAAATTCGATGGTTGTATTATTACTTAACTCGGCAAATGATGAGATACGATCAATCATTCAGAGTGCAATTATGGGATTGGATGTGTATTTGCACATCCGTATATCGCAAATAAACTGAGACGTATCGATACAAGTACGTTTGTTGTATTATCTATTACGAAACTCATGCAAATTTGAAGGCCACGTTATACTGGTCTCATTCGACCCGGATTGTAGGTCGGATTTGATTTACCCGACTAAGCGGGATGTCATTTCGCTACTGTCAGTGTCATCACCGTTTGCATTTTAATTACATTAGAAATACAGATGTCGATAAGATCTTATTTAAAGTTACCTACAGTGAAGTTACGTGATCCGCGCTAATGTACAGCAAGATTTAAGAGCAAGCGAGATCCCGCGTAATTCGCTCTATGCGACAGTAGAACTGATACACGCGATATTACAGAGATTACAAACGCGTTTCGTAATTTATCGCATAATTCATCGCAATGAACTCCCGAGACCTTGTCGACGCGATGGCATTTCACCCCGATTACATTAGAAGCATTGTTCACCGCGCGCGTTTACCGCAACAAATTCATTCATCAACCCGAGCGTATCTCTCTCTCTAGTTAGTTTCTCTCTCGGTCTAGTTTCTCGACCGTGCCATTTTTTCCACGGCACAGCATATGGTCGGAACAGATCTCAAAAGGAGGTCGAATGGGGCTGACATTTAAGATCCTTCCTGGTTCTTCTACGACCGCTTTGCGTAATCTTCTTTATTCCCATGATTAGCGTTCGCGTGAATCGATGGAAACAATCGCCTCGACACGCAGATCGATCACTCTCGGTCAATTATGTTTAAACCGTTAATCTCCTTATTGACCCGGAACTTGGATGCTGTTGGAACACGAGCATGCACTTTAAGCGAGGAAGATCTACGCTGACTTGAAGAACCGATAGAATCAACAGAGTAGATTACATACAATTACATTGCATTAAAGCATTAATGGCACGATGCATCCTTTCTACGGTAACCATATCAAGATCATCAAGTACATCACTTCTGAATAGAGAAGATTGTAGTTCGCTTAGTTATTTTTTAAATAAAACGTACAAGTTCGTATGTGAAATTAAATAAAAAGGGGACATTGGTTATCTCTTGGTACTGAGTTTTGAGACCAATTTGTCAAAGTTTTTAAATTTCAATTAGTCTTAAAACGATATTTTTAATTTGCTCCGCTATATTACTATAATTGTGTGAAAGACTGCACGATAATCTTTGGGTATTATGATACATAACGTCAGGCATTCTCATATTTACTTAGAACAGGAAAATCGTGATTGATATTTCTAATATTCTCACTCACACATAGTTATCTTAAACTAACATATGAAATAATGATCAGAGATTGTAATCGAGAAGACGTTCTGTGTCACGTACAAAATAAATGTGATGCATCTCCGTTGACACAACGCGTACAAGGTGCTGCTTTATGCATGCAATAAATTATAATGATTATAAGACAATTAGTCTCGTGTCGCCCACACGACGAGGTCGATTCGCGCAGATCTAAATGAGTCCGCACGATATAATCGTTAACCTTTGGTGAAGTAACGAGCTGGGAGAAACGTACTGACTGCGAATACAAATCGTTATGCCAAGACTTCAACACGTTCGCATTCACAAAGTTTCATAACGCTGCCGTTTCACTGTTTACGACCGTTGGGTCAGAACGTATGAGCTAATTATCCGATATGTAACAACCCACGCTTAATCAACCACCCTCCCCTCTGGGTTTTGAAACGGGTAATAATCTTACAGAATCTATAGTCTGCACTGAGAAAATTTTTAATTACATAAGTAATTGTTCCTACATATCTTTATATGTGTTCTGATATTTCATGTTGCAAACAACAAGAGTTCGCTGTTCTTCTGTCTCTCTCTCTGTTTCCTTAACACTAATGAATCGCCAGTCGATTACGAAAACGGTAATTTATACATAAACAAATGTGACTGAATTTTATATTTATCACATATAAATTTGAATCACTCCTCATATTAATTCTCAATTGTTTGCGTATCTACTGAGGAAAGCGAGATTAATCAAATTTCTAAAATATACTTTTTTCTTTGCAAAATTATTTTTTTCATTAATCACGTATTTATTTAATAAAATGCAAAGTAAAGTAAGAGATGATATATTAAATATTAAGTACAGATTAGTTTACTCTGGTGGAAAAATTTTACAGTAAATATAACAAAATTGTGTTGAAAGTATTTCAAGATCTTTCTCAATTGATCGTGTTTCATTATCATCTCAGCAATATTTCAGTGAAAAATTATTTTAATTTAAAAATAATACAGTGCAGTTTTTAGTTAAATTCAGTAAATTTTATAATAAATAATATTTTATAATTCTTTTCATTTTTCCATAGTGTAATTTAACTTTCTTGACATTTTACAGTATTAAATTGAATTTCGTAAAGAAAATTATGATTAATTTTTTTCGAGACACATTCAATAACTTTTATTTCACTTTTCTTATATTTTCAGCAAAATATTTCCATCAGGGAATTTATACTTAAATTTCACCACATTTTGATATACTCGATATACGTCCGCAAAGAATGATATTCTTCGCAAACATTGAAAACTATCATATTTCAATAACTTACAGTACGTATAACTATTTGACATAAAATTAATAGAAATTCTCTGCAAGTAGCATAAAGTTTTTGAGAGAATTATCGTTCACCAGAATATATAGCAAAAGTACTCACCGCGATACGAAGACGAGCGAGCCACTGATAGCGATGCTTTTAGTCGGGATCAACATCTTTCTGAGGATAATGCGCGCGGTATCCTCGTAACGTAGGGATCACTCCGGGGCAGGATACTTAATACGCGGTGGCATTCATCTGCCTCGAATGATTTCACAAGAGCCGCACGCGCGAGAGCGGTGTGCGCGAGAACGCGCAGCGGTAAACCTGAACTGAGAATGATGCTTCGAAGGAAAGTAAAACTCTAGTCTATCCCGTACGGTCTATCCCGGGAGTGGGGCTTAAACCAGGATCGCAGCAACGCACGTGCATCCACGGTGCATCCAAGTATAACACGTATTACTGGCTGGGTAAAAGTGCATCGCCACGGCGATATAGCGGCGGCTAGAGCAGTATTACGAACGGGACCAAGGTTCGCCTTTCCTCGGCTACGTTATTGGGAGGATCGCGGTTGAAGGTGCTATTTCAAGGTCGAATATTCCGTTCGCACCTTCGTGCACGCGACGCGGTATGCGTGAGCCTCGCGTGTTCTTTCGCATAAATGTTATTAACAGTAGTAGGCATCGCGCCGCGCCGCGCCGTTGCGCGCGCTATGCTAATTGACTGCACTTGATGGGCTTGACTGCGATGTCGTTCACGGATTAAAATTCCTCGAGATGACACCATTTGTGGTTGATTCGTTCGGATAATGAACAGTCGCGTTACGACTCTTCATTTATTACTTTCGTCATATAAGTCAACGCAATGGGCTTTGGTGATAAATCACGATAGTGTGTCACGTGCGTGGGATTGTTTCCGTTCAACAGCAGTTTTTTCACGTTTAATTAAACACAAATTTAAAAATGTTGAAATAATATAATTTGAGAATAAGACACTACAGTTATACAATATTAAAATCTCGCTGTAGGATCGTTACTGCGAGCAAAGAGATTTTGAGAAACAATGATCACTTTTATTTACGTCCACTCTTATGGTTACAGCTTTTTCTCATGTCAATAATCTTATTAAGTTGTACAGAAGTTACTTTTATTTGTTGCATTAAGCTATAATTGTGTGTTTAGTCAATTTACAAGATTGTATCTTAGGAGCGTACTTCATCTGTATTATCGAGAACCGCGCCACTGTAGGCCAAGTCCCAATAATGTTCCACCTGATGTTTCTTGAAATGCTCGCGGGCCATCTTTTCAATCGGGCACACTTTAAATTTAATTTCCCCGAAATGCCGCTGCTTGCTCGTCCCTTCCCAAACAAGTACACATCTGTTCGGCAGGTCATTCCCGTCGTTATCTTTCACTATGTCTTCTTCCCACTTAATGCGGTGCATCATCAGTCGTTTGTACTTGGCTTGTTGTTTTACTCCACCTTCCACTACGACAACATTACAGTCCCGGAACAGCATTACGCAGCCAGTTAGATAAAGCTGTTTCGCGTTAGTCTCCACTTTAAATTTCTTCGAAGCATTATTAACAAGATCACGTATTCTGTAAAGATGTTATCCCGTTAAATATACTTGTCCGTTATTATCCATAAATGTATTACGCCATAAAATTGCATATATTTACCTATAAACAGCGACATTTACGCCAAGAGTAGTGTCTTCTTTAAGCTTCCTCGCCTTTTTCTCGCGACGTTGGTCAGCGGTGAGCCTCCGTGCTGCATTCGCATCCTCGTGAGCTTTCAACCTCTTGGCCATTTGTTGTCGGACGTGAGCTTCAATTTTAGTAGGATCTTGTACAGCTTCAGTCCCTAAAACTCGCATGAGATTCGAGATCCGCAACTTTGGCTCGGGTGGCGGTTCTAGACCTAATCGAATTTTTTCTTGCTCTTCCTTCCAAGTCTCCCGTCTATTTTGTCTCCTTAATTTCTTACGTTCCTTCTTTGTAAGAAATACAGGCATGTATATTGGTTTCAAAGGTTCCGCTATAAAGGATAAGATAGATTTTAAATGACGCGAACAATATATTCGTACATACATTATATATTAATAAAAATACACGTGGTACATACTTGGAGGCCGCATTTGTGTTGGATGCTCCACTAAATTTGTGATAGTCAAACTTTTGATTGTCGTCAATTCACATTCGTTAGGATATCCGCCAGTTGATATAACAGAATCCCACCACTCTACATTAGGCACATCTTCACTAAGGGCTTCAGTTTTAGGTGCGATAAGAGCTAATTTGGTTGCCGAACTGATACCGGTTTTCCTAGCAATTTGACTAATTTCATTTTGCAATTTCTCCAATTGCGTTTTCATGCGCATTCTCTCTGCCAATTGCTGAAATTTCCCCGGCTCGTGAAACTTTAACGCGCGTTTACCGCGCATCGCCGGCTTCACGCCTATTCGGTTGTCAAAGAAATGAGTATCTTGTATCTCTTCCGGGCCTTTTGATTCTTGCAGCTGTGCCTTAAATTCCTCTCGTTTCTTGGCACGTATATTAGCCTTCAACGTAGGTACCACTTGAGTAAGTTGCACCTCTTTGCCCGTTATGTCTACCGTTCTGCCAGATTCGTCCAGGATCAAGGGAGTTGGCTTATCCGGTACATTAACATTACCGAGTAGTCCCGAATTCAACTTATTTCTGATCTGTGCCTGTAACGCAGCTATTTTCCGCGCCTTGTCCGAGTCGGTTTTACTCAATAGGCCCTGATTATACATGCTTCCTACCGTTGGCAGAGCATCGCGTCCTTTAAACAAGGGCTTCGCAGAAGCGTCTTCCTGCTTTATCGCTTTCAAAGCTCTTTTCCTCTCCTCTATTTCCCTCTGCGCGTTAGCCATCATTTGCCTTATCTAAAATTGTACAAAAGAAAAATGAACTTACAACGCTGGAGCGTTTAAGGAGTCTTCGGATAATAGAATTCTAATACCTTGTCTGCAGAAAGTTGAGTCTCTATGGATTTTTCATTTTTCGTCTCGTCGTCTTTGAATCTCGATTTCTTGGCATCTTTGTCCTTGTCTTTATCTTCAGGATGAGACCGTTTCTTATTCTTTTGCGATGCCTTGGTGTCATCGTATATCGTAAATATCTTTTCCGTCAACTTCGAAGCTTTCTTGTCTTCTAATAAAGCTGATAATTTATCTACAAGAAAATTCTTAATGCATTATACAGAGGTACACGCATGCGACGCATGAAATAGCGTAATAGATACGGTCTGCTTTAAAACGCTAATAATAAAGATCGTAGAAATTAATCGCAGAAAGTAAGTCGATACGCATTTTCTGTTGCTTACCTGCCGTTTTACGCTTGTCGTAGCCAGAAGTGATGCAGTTCACAGCGGTAGTGACAATCGCTGGTTCACTGAAGCCGAGGAATTTATGAACCGCTTTTTCGATCTGCGGCTTCATCTCGTCGATCTCTTTTCTCGTTAAGTAAGACATGTTTCCACCTTCACTTCACTCGCTGTATATTGAAGCGATAAGCTGCTATTCCTTAAAATTAGTATTCTCACGTTAGAAGCATCTTACAAGTATTATGAGGTTAACATCGCCAAGTACTCTGTCGTGCGTACGGTTTGACATTGGTCACATACTCAACAAAGAATTCTCGCAGTTGTGCGCTAAGCAGTCCGCGTCTGATTGGTTCATACTTTTAGATCCAGCCTCGAGTACTACGAGATTCAACGGTTCGCATTGAAAATGTGTTCAAAGTCCATACAGCATCATGAAATTCTATATATAGCACCGAAGCTGCTTTTACCGTTACATTAAGTATTGTTTTAATTTTGTTTCAAGTACACGAGACCTCGGTAACATTTAATCAACTTAAAGTAATCCACCACCGCGTCTGCGTCTGGTAACGATCGATCTCAATAGTTATTTCTTTCCGTGCAGTTGAGTACCAACTCCTACAAATTCCCTAGCCTCTTACACCTCTTTGTTGCGTACAACGCTATGCATACATAATACGTAATATGCATGTATATAAATGGTAAATGTGTGATTTAAAATACAGTTCAACTCCATTTAACTTTGAATAATTTTAATAAATGATATACTGAAAAATGGATTTATTTTTTGGTGGGTGTAGAATAAATTATTAGATTTCGTCAGGGTTGGGAAAGTTACTTTATAAAAGTATTTAGTTATAATTACAGTTTTTTCGCTAAAAATGTAACTATAAGTTACAGTTATAAGTTACTAATTCTGAAAAGTAATGCGTTACAGTTACTCAAAAAGTAACGAATCGTTACTTCGCAATTATACTTTCTTGCAATGAAAATAAAAATATTACATCTGTAGTTGAATTATAATATAGACACTACCCAACCCTGAATAATATTAATAAAAAGGAAAATTGTTTTTTAATATTTTACTTATATGTATTTCGAATCAATATACATTTCTAGTCAAGAGTTTAAGATTATCCTTGGTTGCAAAGCCGCATAGAAAGGTTTTCAATGTCGAAAGATGTAAAGATATAATAAAACATTTAATATATGTATATTAAATTAAATATTTAATGCTAAATGTTTTATAATATTATATCTTTACATCTTTCGGCATTGAAAACCTTTCCATGCGGTTTTGCAAAGGATTACCTTAAATTCTCGATCAAAATCATTTCACGAAAGATGGTAGAAAATATTAAGAAATTCCACGTTATTAATATATAAAAATTGTGTCGCTAACTTTATTCCATATTTTACGAAATGTTAATTAAAAAAGAAAAAGGATTACTTACCTTCGATATTAATCACGACGAATTTCAATGTTTCGAGTTCGTTGCCCATAAAGACCGGAAATAAGAACAGGAATAATGTATATACTATGTAGATGTCGTTGGTATACGTACCGTTTCCATATCTTCAGTATTTACCAAGATTATACGCGCGCGTTACAAAAGCGTACGTATCATTTCCGTACCTTGAGTCACACCTGAGATCATACGCGTGCGAAAGGAAACTGAATGATACTGTAAAAGATATTATAGTGTTGATCTCAGTATTTTACGGATGATCACAGTACAATGAGTATGAAAATGGGATGATACTCAGAATATCATGTGCTGTTACGGGTAAAGTGTTGATAAAGCCCGGATAGCACAAAGTATTGGCGTAGTATTGGGAAATAATGTAAATGCAATACTGTGCAATTATTTATACGTAACATTGGCATTACATTAACCTTTATTCTATAAGTATTCAATATTACAATTTTATTGGGCAATCTTGCCCAATACAATTTCGATATCAATCCAATATTGAATTTCGAATTTGAAGATTGAGTCACGAAGAGACACTCGCAATATAGTTCGAACCGTACGAAATATCTGTCGGTGACGATAATAAACCGACTATGGAAGGAGTTTTCTTCCTTTCTGATCTCGGGTGAAAATGATCAGACTGTATGGCCAGGAGCAACGAAAGGTAGGTCCCATCTGGCCCAACGAAGGAAGACTGAATACGATGAAAAATATGTAATAATATAATAATATAATAATATTATATATACATATTATATAATAATATATGTAATTGCACAGTTTCTTGTTGATAATCCCCTCCTCGGGTACTACCTTGCCGTGGTGGAGGGGCTTAAGTACCCTGAAGGGTTACTCTCTAAAAGTCAATTAGTGGATTATCACTGAAAACAATGAATATTCACTGATTTACAGTAATGATGCACCGATTAATTTTTAGAGAGTACAGACTCTAAAGACGGGACAACCAAAGGTACCCATCGCGTTCGGGAGTGCCGTATAAAGTATTCGCATTAGTAAAGACATTTCAAAGCTCGTTTGAAAGATATGTAG